AAATACAAAGCGTAGAAGCCGACTTCAACTCGCTCACGATTGGTGAGGAAACCCGGCATCCACTGCCCTCGGAAGAACTTCATTGGGTCCCCCGGAGCCCTTCGAAACATCGAGAAGGAAATCGTATACGAAATCGAAGATCTTGAAATCGTGCTGCGTCCTTTGGGCAAACACCAACCGTCCCAGCAGAGATTGGTTCTTCTAACAAGGCTGAGCGCAAGCGAATGATTGCGATAATCAAACCGGCATTGGTCGACAAACATGCGTGGCCTCCACGAACCCCGAATTCGAATCCTATTTATTCTGAAGTGAGATATGTGCTGGAGACCGAGCTCCGGAGGCATCGCTTTGGTAATCTGGAGGCGCTCCGAGCCGCTCTCGATGGGCTGAAATCGATGCATGCAACTCGGGATCTGCGGGGAATGCCGTGAAACCCATGTCGAGGGCTTGCGCTCCGGCCCCTGCTCAATCTAAAATACGTATGCTCGAATGTTCGAATCTCCTTATGGCATCTCAGTTACTTCCGCTATGTTTACCCTCGACGTCAGCCTGACACATTCATTTTCATGTGGGTTTGAAGAATTGACTGTATCCATGCCCCACCCTTTTATTACTTGGGTACCTGACCGAGATCTCAGATTCGAGACTTACGTTCTCTGAAATGTGACTCCATCGTAGCTTGTCCCTTGAAGTAAGCATCTTTCGTTCTACCCGGAATAGCGCTCGCGATCTTGGTCTCGAATTGTACCTGCAGGAGAATATCACCGGACTCGAGAACCTGAGGGGACTCCATACTCTTTCCGTTGCTGAAAGTACCTTCGGCGGTAAGGCTCTCTTCCGGTCTACTGAATTGACGTGGCCTCACAGTTTTCCTGGATATAAATACATAGCGACTCTCTCTTCCTCGGAAAAGAATTGGGCCGGCCCCGCTTCCGAGCAGTGCTTTCTTGAGGATTGTGTCGAAAGTGCGTAGGTGTGAATCTGTTGAACCAATTGAGTCGATCATCGTCAGGAATTCTATTACAGCGGAGACGAATCTGCGAGATCTGAGAAACCTGCGGCGAGCGAGTTTTCTCAGCACCGATCTGAAGACAACGGATTTGAATCTTTCAGCAGAATCGCTTGAAGAAGTCTACATTACGTGAGTCAAGGAAGGAAAGTCTGTGAATAGTTGAAATCCGGAGCTGGCGCAAGCGAATGATCAGATGGGGATCAACAAGTCTATCAACATGGGTATGATTACTGATCACAGTGAAACCTGTCAATTTTTTTTTTCAGGAATCTACGGCATTTTCATCGAAATTCGAGCTTTAGTTCATTCTACTGTAACTACCACGCTACCCTAATTTTGTAGCTGTAGGTGTGGCCCTTGGTAGGTGGCCATGGTACCCATGACGGCCGCAGCATTGGCTCTTTGGACAACTAAGGATAAGCGTTGCAAGAGGTATTCACGGGATCGCCTGCAGCCGGTCGCCTCTTCCATTGGCTGTCCCACCGTCGTAACCTCCCTAATAGGTCCACCTTCCGCCCGAGCAAAACGCGGACCGATACCTCAGGTGGACGCTTTACGCGATTGACGACATTTTCCTCTGATGTTGCCTCTGCTTCACCCCTTCTCCTCGGATAAGCACGGAATGAAGAGACATCCCTTTGGTCTCACTGAGTGCACTCATTTTTTACTGTAGGTATTTAGATTTTGTCATTCCTGCTCATGAAGGTATATAAATCGGTCTGACGCAGTAACTCCTGAATGTGGTTCAAGATGAAGTTCTGGACTTCTCTCTTACACTTAAGGATAGAATCGTAGGCATTTGACGGAGTACGAAAGACTCCAAGGTCTTGATCGCTTGGAGCGCCTGTTGGGACGATGCGGACCTTACGTCGCAAGTGTCCTCCGCTTCGTCTTCCACACTGTCTTCCGTTTCGTCTTTCTCATTGAGGGGCTCGGAGCCTGGAGAGTCGGCGCGGCACTGGATTTCTTCTTTAAATTGAGGGTCGGGGACGTCAGCCTTTTCTGATAGCCGCGACAAAGTTTCGAATATCAATTCTTCCGCCTCATCGGTTCCGGGCACTTCTACCTTATCGAGCCCGAGACCGCAATGTTGGGAACACTTCACGATGGTCTTTTCTTGTACACCTTCCGAAGTTTGGATCACCCATGTGAGTGCTTCAGGAACGTTGATTTTCTTCGTGAGATCCGCAGCGCTCTCACATTCATCCATCCGTGTCAGAAGCCACCGCAGCATCAAGCCTCTGTATTGCAGTTTGAAAGCTTGGATTATGCCTTGGTCCAAGGGCTGGAGCTTGCTCGTCATGTTTGGTAGCAAGAAGAGCAGATGAACGTTGCTCATGGAGCGACGGATATGGCATGGAGCATTGTCTACTAGCAACAAAACTTTCCTGCCCAGGCTCTACATGCGAGCATTGAATTCATCGAGCCATTTTTCGAAGATTGCGCCCGTCATCCAAGCTTTGGGATTGGCTTTCCAAAACACGCCGAGTCGACTCACATTCTGGCCTTTGAAACAGCGAGGGTTAAGCGCTTTCCAAATGACCGACGGCTTGAACTTCTCACCGACGGCGCTGCAGCATATGGCAATAGATAGTCTCTCTTTGGCAATTTTACCCCCAGGACAGTCACTACCTTTCTGCACGAGTGATTTATTCGGGAGAGCACGTAAGAAGAGGCCTGTCTCGTCCATATTGAAAATATCTTTGGCGTCATAGCCTTCGATGAGTTCTGGGATTCGTGTCAACCAGCTATCCACCGTACTTCCGTCAACATCACCTGACTCCAGATTCAAGAAAGAGAGCCTCTAGGCATCGAACCCTTTAGGCGGGTAAGGGCCGGTCGCTGTTCCCGAAAAGGGTGGACAGTGGACACGTTCCTCAGGTGGACGCTTCACGCGTTCAAATTAACACAGTTTTATGGCAGAACGAATCGGTGCCTGATGAAAGTGGACCAATAGCTCAGGTGGACCCATTACGCGGGTGGACCCTAAGTCAGGTTTCACTGTACTTACCTACAGGGATTGCGGCATCAAGACCATCAACCCTAACATCTGGACCAGGATGCCGCGCTTGAATCGTTTAGGCCTTGTGAGCAACCATATTGAGAGTATACCGGAAGATCATACACAGAGAAATACTAGGCCGGCCTTCCTGCTCGACGGTAAGGGGGGATGAACGATGACAAGGATGGAAAACGAGGGACAGACAGGTTTCGAATGCACCTCGCTTGACGTGCAACTTGGGAGCATTTCATCTGGAAGCACCCATTTTTTCCAGAAAATCCTTTCGACTATGGTAAAATGGCTTTGATGAAAAATCGAGACTTGAAGGAAACCGCGCAACATCTCTCTGATGATATCCCTCAATGTCCGGATCTCGGTATAAAATGTATGCGGATGGAAGGCTACTACCGACAATTCGCAGCGGAAATCAACAAAGTTCTAAAGGAGAGAGCTGAGACAGCGAAGTTTCAGTGAGCCTCCCTCCCCAGGAAAAATAGACCTTCTTCAAGTCATGATTTCATGATTCGAAACTGTCTGTGGCTGCGGCCTAGGGGAGCCCAAAGGTCTCCGGATCAACCGGAGCCCTACGGAATACTACAGCAAAGGTTGTCCATCTCGGCGACCTCTGCATCCAGGAGGATATTCCTCAATTCCATCGGGGCTAATTCAATTCTCCGGCCCGGAGCTTATTGACGGCGTTGCTCCTTTGCGGGGTACGAACAGGATCCCGCGAACTGATGGACTCCTAGATAGTATCGATTCCGGTGCCGGGATTCATTAGCCAATCTCCGCGAATAGAATACTGACATCGAGGATTACGAGGCTTTTCCAACCGCGCACCAACCCACATGCCTGTTGCAGCTTTCTCGAAAGAGAGCTGATCTCGTCTCTTAGGAGGCCAAATGGGCAGGATCTGATATTCCTCCACCGAGTCTGCTATGGGCTCCCGCTTCCAATGCGACCGAGGAGCTTTCTTCATTAGAGCTGCAGATAATCGGAATACGAGAGGCGCCCTGGCTTCGAGGGCTGAATTCAGTCGATCGCGTCCCATGGAGGAGGAGCTTGAGCCGTGGCCGCCAGGAACGAATCAGCCTGCATTGTGCGGAAATGACAGAAAAACATAGCATAGCGCGTCGAGGGGGACGCGCAAAGGGAAGGTGGCCCTCGCGAGCTCCCGTTACCTCGTCTGTGTGCTACAAGCGATCCTGAAGGAAAGACCTCCGTTTTGTACGGTTATGAATTATGACTCATGACTAGGGATGTAAATTTTTCGTGGAAAATTTCCGCCAAACTCGCGGAAATTCGCGGCCTCCATTGAAACTCTATGGGGAGTAGCCGGAAATTTCCGCGAATCTCCGCGGAAAAATGGTGCTCCGCGAAAAATATACATCCCTACTTTTGACCTATTTAGTTTGAAATACGGCGGCTGATTGGCGAATGACGTTGGCAAAATCTTGCAAGAGAAAGTCTCGTTGTTCCCAAGGGCTCTTCGCCCCGCCACCAATTCCATTCTGCATGAAGTCATATGATTTTCTGAATATCTATCTGTGCCTTCCCACCACATGTCAGCTCTGAGAGCTCGCACATGCAGACACTCTTCAGACTAGGTACGAAGGTTCCGCTCAGAAGTCTTGCATCCGACTAGGGATTGAGTGGAGTCGGATTCGACTGATTCGAGGAATGAATGAGACCGAATACCCGATCGGCGGCAGAGCTAACGAAATAAGAGCAACCACGTTCCAAGAGAGAGATAGTGGCTTCGAAAACGCCACCGATGTCATGCCAGCATTCGTTCTGATCATCTAACTCCAAGAGATCCGAGTTAAAAGCTGCCTTGTTAGACTCGTTCCGCGATCAGGAGTATTACGATTCGATTCATCGAAGCGATGATTCTCCCCGAATGGAGGGAGAAGTATCGGCTATGGATCGATGATCTGTAGTTGCAGTCATCGCTGATGTCTGGAAATTGAATTCCCCGATCAAGCCAGGCTAGGATGAGGACCATTTGTCAACAATTTCGGGTCCCGATTTATTGAGGCAAAATTCGTCCGGATTCGTCGAATGTATAAGAAGAGCCGTCCTAGGCTCCAGGCACGTGCCTAATCACTGAGCCCTCATGCTCCTGAAGCCACGAATGATTTCTATGCCGAGTCCATTGATCTCATCCCATTTCGGAGATCCTTGCAAACGCTTGTAATATGCCTCAACTTTCGGAAAAGCCGAGAGACTGTAATCCATGGACTGCGGAAAAAAAATCACCCGTAGTCGATCCGGTCTCAATTTCCGTCACGGCGCGCTGTCCGCACAATAAACGTCAACGATAATGAATTATAATTATCATTGGCCTCTTTCGATTATCGATCATTCTACAATCTAGTAGCGAGATCCGCAGCCTGGATCGAATTTGGAGACTTACGTCTGGCAGAGTGAGAGATGTAGCGATAGCTAAGTCCGCGATAGTGACGGCGTTGTCGACGAGATAATCGTTGTCCCCCAGGAAAGTCTCCAGGAAGCCGATCGACTCCTTAACTTTAGGCTCCTGTTCCAAAAACAGTTCAACTCCCATGAGAGATGCAGTACACTGGCCTTAATTCGTACGGCTCCGGATCGTAGGCATATTTTTGTCAGATTATCGTCTTCGATCGACTCTATGGATCCTAGGAAGGTCCAAAGCGGCCAGCCGACTCTACCTTCTCCGGGTCGTAGGCTTGCGCGTACAGGAGATTCGGATAGAAGTAGTCAGCGAAAGACTTGAACAGGGTTCCGATGTCGAAGTAGAGGAACCTTGAACGGAAGTCCAAAGAGGATAACTTAAGAACGGCTGAGTAGTCTTCGAAGGGACGGGAAAACATTCCTTCCGGAGGTCCGGCACTCACCTGTCGACCAGAGCGCGTTTCCGCGGACATTTCGGATAAAGTGGACTGTCCGGAGCGTACTCATTGGCTAGATAGCACATGATTGCGCGGGATTCAGCCAGGGCGAGGTCTCCGTCTACAATTGTCGGAACTGTGTGCTGCGGATTCAACTGGGAAGGATAATGCTCATGAACATAAATGCGACATAATTTCCGGAATCAAGACTGTTAGTTCCGGCCCAGCTCCGAGAAGGCCGGAGAATTATTACCTTGATGTACCAGTCTTCTAGATGCTCCTTCTTCTCCATGATGTCGAGAGGTTTTGGGTTTAATGAAACATTGAGCGATGCCGCGACGAGAGCCACGGCTCGAACCGGGGGGCTCGCTTGAGTTTGGTAGAAGTCTATGACCATTGCTCCGGTTGGGTTGATATTTCCCACAAGACGGAACACCACTGTAAGCATGGACTCCTGATCAGGCATACCGCAACGACCTCGATTCCTCACTCAGGAAACTCTCAGATGAGGTTCTCTCCGAATTCGATGAGATGCTAATTGCATACTATACGTCGCTGAAGAATTTCAAACCATGGTTCGAATGGATACGAGTAAAAGATGGGACGGGCCAAGGAATCGCCGTCAGCTTTCGATTCCGGATATTTTGAGGTGGTATGAAGTCCGACGGCAACTTACCGACAGCCTCTGTGCTGATTCCACGCAGTGGATTTGTCTGGACGCGGACAGGAGTGAAGCTCTACTCCTGTCAGCTGTCCTCTCCACTAGCTGGGAGAGAGTGCCCCTACCGCGGCTTTCCGAATGCCTCCTCCAACATACATAGCGTCCGAGGCAAACGGCATGGCATTGTCCGAGCCCCCTCTTAATTCATTGCTCGTTTTCCCGAAGAGGAAGGGTAGTGTGTCCCTTTCTCGTTCAGCGTTCGACCTCTGACGGGAGCATTCAAGAATCCGGAGCCATCATATCCCAACCGAAGACAAACTTTCACATTCTGAAGCCCCTTTGATGCAATATGCTCCCCATAATCATCGAGGAGCTCTTTCGATTCCGCCACTATGCGACAGGTGTCGTGAAGTTATCACGGATCGACCGACCGCCCGCGCGCCGACGGAACTTGTTTATTTTCGACATGGAGTCGTCTGCGCGTGGTGCAGCGTGTGTGCCTAGTCCACAACAATCGAAGCGGTGGTTCTGAAAACAGCTGACTCGGGCGCAAGGAGATCGCCAAGAGACGACTTTTTGGAGTGATTTTTGAGACGGTGAAATGGCGTTCCAACCTCCTAACAACAACAAAGGTCAAAAAATTCTTGATGAACTTTACCAGAAGAAACAGTTCTTACTGATGAAGAACCCGCCTCCCGCTCAGCCTCCGCCTCAGCAAGGTACAGATATTTCTTGTTATCGTTTTCGTTTTCCTGCAGCAGTGGGTCTTCGCATTGGATGCCAGTCATGGCCCATGCGAATAATTATTGTAGGGAGCTCACAAGACCTCTCTGGCTCATTTATATCCGAAAATGAGGGAGCAGCTTATTTATTTTCAGTCAATGACACGATGTCACCGAACCAGCGAACAGCATTGCAACATGCTCAACAAACCTCACCTGGATTCTACATTACTCAAGAGTCATCGTATGGGAACTTGATAATCCCGGTAGTGCCTAGATTTTGATCAGCGCTGGGTGTAAATACAGCTGTATACATGTGAGGAGGATCCTCCGGATCGTCGATTCCATTGCAAGTCACCATGATTGAGTTCATAAATGTATAGCTTCGAATCCAGCTCTCGTGTCTTTTTCTCGAATTGACAAGATTTTAGAAGTCTGTCGCATGTCCCGAGAGACTGATGAGCGCCCCTGTTTACCCGGAAATGTTGCATGAGGCAGGTGCCTCCGCTGTTGTGTGCATCCTCTCCGCGATCTCCCAATGTATCTACCTATCTAACGCTGCGAATGCGTTATGAGTTATGAGCTCCCAGCCGATACCTCGGGAATCGGTGACTTCAGGAACTCCGATGCGAGTTCTAAACGAAACATCAGGAACAGCCGGGGCCTCAATTGATGGCTAGCGCGTATTTTGTACATTCGTCCCCGTAGGCGGGTCTCGTCCTGCGCAGTGAAGATTGGAACTCCGAGATTGAATCAAAGGTCGCGGTGTATCCATCGCTTCGCTGGACGGTTATTTTCTTATGGTGCTCCTTGAATTCCTCGGTCGCTTCTATCGCCACGACCAAGGTTCTCGCGTAGCGACCGTCGAGGATGTTGTGCTGCATGAAGTCGATGAGATCTTGCTTGGTCAGAGTGCGAGCTATTTCCGCCTCGTCTTCTGCGCGATGGAAGTTGCAGGCCCGATAACATTCCACCCAGAATCTGAGATCCAGAGGGAAAGGGTCAAGACTGAGCTGGAGGGAGCGAAAGTGAAATACTTTCTACAGTGTATCTTGTTCTTTGAAGAGGTCGAACCTTGAGCCGAACGAAACGGGACCAGTAGCTTTTTGCAATTTACTGTGTACGAGAGAATCTCGGTGGTCGTCGAACATTTCTTTCGAAAGTTTTTTCAAGTACCACGGGGCCACGTTGTGTATGAAGTTTCGAATCCGTTGCTCGACATACGTAATGTTGTGAGCGGATTCAACTGTCACGGTGAGACCTGCAACCGCAATATCAGCTTAGGGAGTCCAAGGTGCTCGAATCAAAGTTGTCATCACGTCCAAGTAGCTTCTTCCTGGATCGGAGTCTGAAAACTTGTAGTGATCTCCGAGAGGGGAATGGCGAACCCTTTGACTTTCAGCGCTCAATGGTATGGTGTCGATAGTAAGCAATTCTACTGCCTTGGGAAAATACATTTATATTCGAGTTCTATCTGACTCGTGAGTCAGATAGAAGATCATAGTCAGATAGAAGATCACAGCTCGATTCTTCCCGGGGAATTTCGGTATAGTGAATTCGAAATCGATCAGCTTATTGCCTTTTCCACATAATTCTGTCCACCAACAGCATCCGCTTGCTCACCGAAAGTGTTCATGGCCTTCTTGAATGAGCTGTTCGCACTGTAGCCGAGTTGTTCTCGCGTGCGAAGAACGCTCGCGGTTATATCACTGATGATGACCGCTAGCAATTCACTGACGACCAAGTCCCTTTTGCGATCGACTGACTCTCCTAACTCGTAGAACACCTGCCGAGGGAAAACCTTTTCGGGTGATCACTGCCTCCCTTCTAGGCCCGAGGCCTGAACACGTCTCGTGATTTCTGATCGCAGATGGATGGAAGCTCTAGCGTCCCGAGCTCAATTTTCGGAGCTGCTGACCTCAACGGAATTCAAGGGCTGCTCCTTTATCGCGTCGACGTAACGATAGAAATGACCCTCGCTCAGGGAGAACTCCTCTATCAATTGACTATCTTCGAACTTCATCGTCGTATCTGTGAAGTACAATATCAGACAGGAATTGATTGCTTTCGATTTGTGCTTCGAGAACGGATATCGACCCCCCCCCCGCATCACCCGACGCTGTAGGACTCTTGGTTTTAGCTAGGGAAATGACCGATACTCACTTTCGAGCATGCGTTTCGCTTCACGATACATCTGCAGTGCGGTTTCGAGCTCGACATTTCCGAACACATAAACAACGGCGGAGGATCGAGCTCGGGACCTATCGAGGAATCCCTGAATATCCCGCACCGTGAACTTCTCCAAGAACTCCAAATTTTCCTCTGGTGTGAAGCTGTAGCCCAGTATCAAGAGCCGATTCCTTATATCGGGCAGAATCTGGAAGAATTTCTTGCTCAGTTGACCTTTTAACGCTCGTCTCAATTGTTCCCGCGCATCGTCGAGCATTCGTTGGTTAATGTTGAATTCTCGGAATTTCCGCAGGGCACTTTGAAGAATTTGCCCCTGCTTCTGATTGTATCCACTAATCGAGAAAAAGTATCCGCGGATCGCTGGCATGATATCCATCTGCACGCCGGCCAGCCGCGCCGCCGTCCACTCCTCGTCCATCGTCTCGGTGAACATTTTTGCGATGACGATAATTTTCAAAATATCCGACGTTTGCAGATCGATAATATCCGTGCGGTAGAGAACTCTTGCGGCACTTTTCGGAGTGTTGAAGTCATCGCTCTGCAAAAACCACAGTCGGCTGGCGGCTTCAGATTCGAGGAGCACCGGAACCCTGCCGAAGCGCGGTTCGGCTCGGTAGACCTGCAGTCTATCCGGAATGAAATCGTTCTTCTTCGGAATGAGGAAACGATCACCGTGAGGAACTGTCTTCCATTTGGTGAGCTGTTGGAAACTTATACGCGAGAGAGCGTATGACGCATTATATATGGGTTCCCGTCTCAGATCCGTCCGGTTCGCGTACGTCGATGAGGACACCACGATGCGGCAGTTATCCGGTGATAACAAGGCGAGCAAGTTCCTTATGTGGTCGGGTCGGTACTTGTGGATGACGTAGTAGGCTGAGAGCATATCTCGCCACGAGAAGCTCCGTAATTTCTCCGCCGTGTAACGAGGAAAGTCCTGCCCATTCCATTTGGGTCGATACTTGAACTGTATCCGTCTTCCCGTTTGAAGGTCCCTGAACACGTCCTCATCGGGTCCGACCTCCTTATGGAAGTTTATATATGCGAAAATCGACTCAATCACCTCGTCCAAGTTCTCGAAACCGAGATCGCTCAGACGAACTTCAATTGAAAAAATTCCGAAATGGCGAAAATTGCCCCGGACCTTGGCTGACAAGCTGGCTATGTAAGATTTCTGGTGGAGGTAGGCGTACAAGCTCCCCGAACCCTTATAGCCGATGATACCGGAAGACACGTACAGTTCCGGTAGGGAACGGTAGAACTCTAACATGTCCGGAACCGCGAAAACGATTTCCAGGAGCTTCGTCTCCACGGCTGGAACGATGTGTAGCATCAATTTCCTCGAGTGCTCGTAAGGATGCTTCAACCACACCGGGCTGTCGACGGAACCTCTCCGTATCGGCGAGAAGTATTTGAGGATCATGGTCTGCAAATCTTGCAGTGACTCTCGACCTTGGACGAAAATATTCATCATTCGAGCGGTGTAGTACTTTCGGTAGAATTTCCGCACCTCCTCGATGACTGTCGTGTTCAACATTTTCGCGCCAGCTTCCAGACCGGCTTTGCTGCCCGTAGAAAATTGCGTAAACGGATGATCCTGATCCCCTGTTGCTTTCTCTATTTGATTTTGTCTCCAATTGTCTGATTTGAGATTTTTTCGATGCTCTGTGTCCACAGCGAAGATCTCTCGTTGAGCCGTCTCCTCGGTGAGGAGTGGGTCCCTCATCATGTCGCTTATGATCGCGAGCGATTCTTCGAGGAATTCCGGGTCGACCTCGTAATAGTAACAAGTCATGTCGCCATGAGTGTACGCATTAGCGCTTCCGCCATGACCGTTAAGGTAAGCGAACAGGTGGTTCTCTGCGGGATACTTCCTGCTGCCCATGAACATCATGTGCTCGGTGAAATGCGCGAGCCCTTGAAGCTCCCTGGGATCGCTCATGTAGCCTGCCATGATGCACAACGACATTCGAGATTTCTCGAGATCCGGCTCCGATCCCAGGAGCACTTTCATTCCATTCACTAAATCCAAGCCGCGGTACACACTGTGATCGGTGTCTGGTTTCATGGTGATATCCGTCGAGCGCACTGGGGGAGGCCAACTGGGCCCAGGTTCGACCACTGGTAACACGAAACGAAATACGATGAACACTAATAGTGGCAACGAGCCGAACAGAGCCATCAGAAATAGAAGAATCCATGCACTCGGAACTCGAGACATTGTTGGCGCGTTGTGGCAGTTGCACGCAGTACGCTTACCGAATAAATTGGTAGAGAGATCACCGTCTCACCGCGCGTGTGTTTGTGAGTGACTCCGATCTCTCCCCATGAAGAGCACTCACATGAACGAACGACTCGATACTCTGACGGTCGAACACCATCTCTTAGCGACGGTGTTTCTGTCGCCGGTCCTCCTTCACAGCTTCGATTTGCCTATTCCTGATCCTCCAGAAAATTTTGCTCCATCCGATGCAAGAGATAGCGATACGAACTTTCCTTTAGTCCTCCTCAGGACTCAGGCCGTGAAACGGAACTTCATGGAGTGCTTCAACGTCTAGATGTTCAGAACTGGCTCCTGCTCAACCTTTCAGAGTCTAACTAAGATAGGTTTGTCTGTCGTCGGTCCTACTCCGCAGACTCGTTTTGCCTCTTCTTGAGGTCTCACTATAGGCATAGTTCACTAGCTCCATTCTGCGCAAGAAATAGCGATACAAACCTACCTTTGAGTGAGACCCTCTCGAGACTCTTTCGGAGCCTACGACGGGCCGGGAAGCTTTAGAGCTCTGTAGATGGAAGTTGTCGAATGTGAGACCCTTTGAGTGGGGCATTGATTCAGTTTTCCAGTAGGACAGTAAAATATTTGAAGAAAAGAATGGTCGCCGGTAGCTGTATGTCGGGTCGTGTGCATCTCACATCTGATTGGATTATCTCAGATGTCTTCCACCGACCGGGCTCACTTGATGCATTCAAGAATAAGTAGGTGAATTCCATTATCGAATCTTCCTTCCGCATTCTGAGTCTGATGGAACTCGCCGTCAATCACCTCGGATCGGCTCCGGCGAAACGGAGCGGAGGTCTATGTTTCTAGATCAATCCTCTCCTTCAACGGAATTCCACGGTGCGAAAGTCACGACCCATGCATGATTACGAGTCTACAGATATCTCGGACAGATGAGGGACGACCAGGGACGAAATTATTATCGGGAGTTCAAACGGAATAATCACAGTCCGACTCCATCTATTCCGTATTTCCGAGGATTCATGAACCGAGTACCCGGCTCATACAAAACTGGCTTTAAATGTATCTCGAGCACGATTATCCTTTATTCAACTAGAGTCCACGCACGCATGGGCTCATCGATTAGAACAAATTGAATACGTACAGATATTGGGTCTTACTCCATTCGGCGAGATCTCACTGCCAGCCATGCGATGGGGGCGGTACGAAGATAATCTTCTCCAATTGTGAACCCTGGGTCCGATGGAGCACATGGCCGCCGGGATGGTGCAGATGGATTTTGTGGAAAGTGTTTATCTTCTGAGTTGGTCCGGAGATCGTGTACTTGTGGCCCGCGGGTGCCCCGAGATGTGCGAGTGAGACCCCTCCTCCGAGTAATCGAGCGAGTCCCACGGCCGAGAGAGCATTTTCGTCTTCTTGATTCGATTGCGCATCGGTATCCTCGCTCCCTTCAGACCCCATATGCCAACCCGCTGCGACATTCGCCGGCCATCCGAGAGCGGGGGCTTCCTGCCATTCTCCAGCCTGCATACTCGGCCAAGCGGACGCACTCGCTTGCCAAGGATCACTTTCCCAGCCTTCGGGAATTCCTGCGAGCACGGCGGCGAACAAAGAGCACGAAACCAAGACGATCCTCATTTCTACTATGGTGGGTATCGATTGACCACCGGGATTTAGGACGTAGCTTTTTATTTGGATTTTCGACGCGGTGCAAAGCTTGATTGTGAACTCACGATTTTCGACGGGGGCTGAGAGTGAGCGACGGTAAGGCTCACTTGCCCACCGCGACGGGTCAATAAATCAAGAATTGACCCATCGCACGCTTTCCGGTGATCTAATTTTGTTTCTTCGAATAAACGAGCCCATTCTCTTTTTTATGACATAACATGGTTCAAAGTTCAGCGGAGACGTTAGGAAGAGAAAAATCTTTGGTAAGAAGAAATATCACCTCAGGTAAACTGTGTTCAGGTCAGTATGGGATTTGCACGGATTAGGTCCGATCGGCGGATCTATATCCTTCATCGGCCTTGCTCCACTGAAGAATTTCGTGGCTTGAATATCCCGTGGCGTGTATTGAGGGAATTTTCTGCACCCACGCTGGAGACTTCTCCCAAAATTTCTTTTTGGCAAAGGTATTCAACCCGATCGAGAACCACCTAGTCCGGTGACAGTTGCGCACAAATTCTTCAGAAGCGCCATAGCTGGAAACTCCTGAATAAAATCTTCTGTCTGGTGTACCGCGGCCCGATGGCGTTTCTCGGAGCTAAAGAGGAGAGAAGAATCGGGTAAAAACCGCTAGTCAGAAAAGCCACGTTGTAAATAGCGGGTTCGGACGAGCTGCCTTCGTCGGCCGACATGTCATTCACGGTCGCTGGGATTTCCGAGATGAAGCGTTCCCTTTAGCATTATAGTTCTCTCATCATCGACGCCAAGCCACAGAAGTCGGCTCACATTGTCTACGAAAGTGCCGACCATGGGGCGGCTAGACCTAAATTCCCTTTCCCGCCGCAACAATCCTTAATATCCTAGTTCGCGTTGGGAGCCTGACCAAAAACCAGTCGAAACAGCACCGCCGCCGCATTATCGTGCCATCGACATTCCCCACCGCGGCTACCGACAGGTGTGACGTCAGGACACTTTCGCTGCGGTATTCAGCTTCTTCGGAAACGCTTCTACGAGGAGGAGCAGCGAGATGATCACAGCGATCAAGGCGTATAACGTGATTGCGGTAAGTCCCGTCTGCTTGTAGATCAGTGATTAGGAGCAAGGACCCGAGACGAACTTTCTGTGAGGCACCTGCTCGATGGCACGGGCTTCTCGAGTCGGCCCGAGAAGACGTGAAGATGATCAATTGGTTTCCGGTCGTCGGTGATTGAGAAATCCCACTGAACGAACACACATCGCTGCTCCGGAAGGAATGCCTGGAACAACCATCGATCAGCTCTGGTTGTGAGAACGCAGATTTCTGTGAGGAACGTGTAGAGAATCGGATCCCGCGAGTTCGCATGGAACCCAATTTTCGATTGGAGCACAATCGAACGCGCTCGACAGTCGAGACGGTCTTTGCGCACGTAATCGCGTCGTAACGCGGCAGGCTCGGGAGCGGACTTGACAAGCGCGACGACACGGAGGAGAGGCGTCAGGCAGCCGACGCCTCGCGACTCGCGACGCAGAAAAAGTGGAAGACGAAGAAAGGGAAAGGAATCATCATTCGGGAAAACATGGCCAGTTAGATAGAAATGTTTTCAGACAAACGGATCGACAGACAGAAAAGCAGGAGCCTGGCGTCGGGCAGACCAGCACGCATGCCACACCGGAATACCGGCGTTCCCATCCGGTCGTGACGAGCCCGCTGGCGGTCCGCTAGCACTGCCTGTTTGACGGTGGCAAATCGCCGATATGTCATCCTGAGTTGACCCGTTCCGTGTCTCTGTAGAATCTGGCTCGTGTGGCATACAAGCCGAGCGTTTTTACGAGCTCAAGTGGAGAGTTCCCGTGATTTCGAAAGTTCCGGGATGCTTTCTCGCAGGAGTGCATGATGTACAGTGCGGTTGCCTGGAATTTCGCTGCGCGAGAGAGATATTGAAGAAGCGTCAGGAGCGATAGCAGACGAGGAGGAAGAGATCAGCGTGGGAGGATGTCAGAATGGACCGTTATAATTGTGAGGGTCTTGCAGTTCGTCGCTGCTGTTCTCACAATGATGTCCCGGAGCAGCCCGCTGATCTCGTCGGATGGTATGATCAGACGCCAAATGCCCGTAGAAGATGCGGCAAATTCCACCCTCAACATTACGGAAAACCTGCTTTTCAATGACACCAAAGGTATTTCGACTTCCATCCATGCCGGACGGCTGACGTTCTGTGTCGATCCCGTCCGTATCTTTCGGAATTCCTATTCCCGTTTTTTTCGCTTTGATACGAGCTCCTCTTCTCTTCCTTCCTGTACGGTAGTGCAGACTCCTTATTCAGGGAAGGCATAGTGAATCATCACCTGTTCGACTTTTTTTCCGATCGAGTCCAACTGATCGATTCATTTGATCCGTTGATTGATTGATTGACTGATCGAATTTCGTTGGTAGGAGTCGCGAAACCACTTGCAGCCTTCGGTGAGGAGGAACGCTGCGACACGGAGCCTTTCTGTGAAACCGACGAGCATCCCGTCCCAGAGTGAGTGCCCCGTGGCTCATCGAGTCTCTCCGATTCTCGCGAAGCCCTCAGCATCGCTCAAGAAGCATCACCTCCGATCTCTCGGTATCCCTCAGCGGATCCGCGGTGTCAGGGATTCGTCGAGTCGCGAGCGTGCTCGTTCTGAGTCTCTATTTCGCGTTCCAGCGAGGTGCAGCTCAAGGTCTTGGAAGAGAACTTCGATAAGCTGAGGGCTTTCTTCGAGAAGGACGACACGGACACCCCGCAGCTGTACAGAACATCGCAGCTCCTCGATAGTCAATCTCCCTCCTTCGTGCAGGTGAGGCCGGGTCGACGTGGCGGGGGATCTCAATCGATACGGACACGGTCCTAGGCCTCCGAAATATCTCGATTTCAGCACCCATCCGTCTCGGAGCGTGGGTGATTCCCCGACCTGTCCCCGGGGTCGCGTTTCTAATCTGTTGGTAGATGGGCAACGAGGAAGATATCAACGCTGTCTGAGGCTAGAGATCATTCAGAGTATTTCAGGCATGCGACACCCAAACGAAGATAATTGACAGACTGAAGAAAGTCCGCGATATCGACGGGAACCCTCATTTCCTCCTCAACCCCGATCAAGGGGGTTACCGCCAATGGATCTACTACGTTCGCTGCCGGTAACTCTAGACGTTCACATTTAATTTGGATCAGCCATCCTTGCGAGCGTTTCCGAGCAGAATCCGACGGAGATCAGTCTCATTATCCGGGAAACATTCGGCTGCGGGTAAATTCCTTCGTGGCCACTTCTAAGAATCCGAGGAAATTTCAGAGAGGAACGCGGGACATGCACGAATGTTGAAGCGCATCTTCCCCCGAACAGACAGACTTATTGCGCGACCAGATTATGGCGGCGAGTCATGACGGCGATCAATGTGACCAGCTACGAGCCCTACGAAATCCTCGTTGACGTACCCGGCGCGTGTACTTGTTACATCAAAGCACAGATCTAGACTTTTCGTGTTCCGCTTCCAAAGTTGAGTCAAAATAATTGTTGTTGAACGCGGGGCTGATCCGAGCCGAAAAGTTCGAATAAATCAAATTATCGCTCCAGGGTCGGGAGCAACCACAGAACTGAGAATCTTTCCAACGTCATGTGAGCTGTGGCATGATATGAAAATAGTTGTGGGTAATACATGTGAGTGGGAAACGGCACACGGAGTCCGACATGGAGACAATCATGTCCCTTATGTAATTTCGGGTTGGATCGAGGAATCGATTGAGCGGCCTATTTTCGTTCGTCATTTGTCAAAGACACAAGACATAACTGTCAGCTTCCTCTGTGACAATCTCTCGGAGTGTTGATTTTCTCGTTGTCGGTGTTGGTGCGGCGCTGCCGGACGCGGTCGTTGCCGCCGCCGCCATCACCGCCGCCCAATAAGAGCACTACTGGAAGAACACTCGAACACCGTGTGAGCCAAGCCTGAGAGAAGAGCCCTCTCGCCGGCGTTCGTTATTGCATTAACGACGCCCGAGATCGTATGCCGACATCGAATCCATCGCGTACGAGCCTTGCTTAACATAATATCAACAACTGTCATCTCGCTCAGCTTTCAAGGCATGGGCTCTTACGAAATGTGAACCACTTTCACCCCTTTCCGGGCGTCGATCCTGTGCTGTACAGCTGTACGCGAGGGTGTCATTCACCGCTTCGAGAGTCAATCATAGATTCCCGGCTCAAGTCGCGGGGGAAAACCTGTCCCGCCAGATAAGATATCGCGTTCGAATCGACTCAAGACGGCGAAAATTGGTAAAGGCATTTGTCACCCAGAGATTTATGGGTAAGCTCTCGAGAGCTGCAATATCCTCCCTCGGACCGTTGACGCATGAATCAAAATCGTGGAAGACATTGTTCGCTCGAGAGCAGCGAACAATCGTGATGGAATGTCATTTTCCAACAGAGGGGAAGTCCAGAGGGGCATTCATGTTCGAGGTAATCCTTCGATCTCATTGGAACTCCTCCCGTTCCACAAGCACCGATCAATATCTTCGGGAGTTCAGAGAGAGGCCTGTAACCGATCTGGTCGGCACGGAAGACCACAATGGAGCTTGATTTCCGAACTCGAGACTTCATTCCCGAAAACGAAACTTCATTCCGAAACTCGCCCGGATGACCGAGATTCGGGACGGGAACCCGGAAAATGACCACAATGAGACTGTGGTCATGATAAGCTGCATAACGTGTCGCGGGAAGAGCGCTGACGAAAGCCTGACTCCGAACGACGGATTAAGGAATTTGATGCAATAGCCGACTGACGACGTTTTACGGGGGCCGTTTCCTTCTCGCTGATCTGCGGATTAGACTGAATCAGAGGCACCGGCGGCCGGCATCTCTATTGTGGGACAGCCGCGACGACAGCCACCAAACGCGTCATGCAAACCTCCTCCACTGTTTCCGGCTGTCAGGCTGTTTCAAGCTCCAATCCCTCTCCAGGGGAGGCTTGATTTTGGAGCGCTTCTTGGATCGCTCCTTCGCTTGGAAAATCGCTCCTGATTGAGCTTGCAGCATCCCCGAAATAGCCACGTGCATCGTTCCACCATCCCGGGGAATGCTCGGAAGACCTTTGGTGAGTTCGGACTTGAGTTCGGAGATTTCTTGCCTAGCAGCGTGTAGATTGAGCTGGTCCGCCAAGGCAGTGCGGCGATCCGAGATCCGCGATTTGCCGGACGACCGTTCCCATGGGATGTGACTGTGTGTGACGACCGATGACCACCGGCGTAAGGCCGGATGAGGCGCGATTGGCGAAGATATTGATTTGGGTGACATGGAAGCTCGATCTGATGGTCGGTCTGGTCGACGATGAAGGTGGAGCAAAGACGAAGGGAGGAGGGGAAGAAAAATAGAATATACGAAGCACCGGGGCTAGGTGGCGCCGTTCACGCCGGAAGCGGATGATGAATTTCGGCGGCTTTTCCCTCCACTTCGTCGCCGGCTGACATCTGGAAATGTTCTAAGCACTCGTTCGCTTCGATATGTGTTCGTGGTTGCTGACAGGATTATGCTGAACAACTTCCAAAAGGTGAAATTCTCAAAAGTTCCGTGCGCGGTGGAAGGGGGACAGTTTCTGAGGTGGGAGCAAGTCTTGTTGCGAGCTCTCAGAGATTTATTGTGAAAGACGGAACCCAAGCTGTTGACTAGAAAACTCCCGTGGCTAGATATCGAAACCGATCTGAAGCTCATTTCGATCCGCAGTTCTTCACCGCGGTCCTATCGGTGATGTCACATGGCAACTCAGTGGAGCAGGGTCTCAATAGAACATCGAACGGTCAGGTCAATTCAGACAGCGCCAGGAACGCCACAGGTCAGCAGAGATCACAGTCGATCATTATTCTCCTCACGCAGTCCAGTGCTCGAGATTGGACGCTAAATATTCCGTGCCTTCCAGAACAACTCTCCAGTAAAATTTGCAATCCCTTCTGTGAGACTGTCTCCCATCCGCTGCCCGAGTGAGTGAGAAAAGAGACTCTGAGTGGGTCGAATTTCATCAGTATGATTCATTCGATTCGAGCACGACCGTGTAATTTCTCAGCTCAACCCATGTTCAGTTCTACCCGGATATCAAGTCTTCGAACAAAAGACTCCCACCCCTCGTCCTCCAGGACGCTGACTCCCGACGCCCGCGCAGACTTGTGGAAAACCGTACCGATGTCGTTTCCTAGCCAGCTAATTAAGCTACGAGATCGCCGCCACGCGATTTCGATGGATCCCTCGGACAAGTCTTCGCCAGCGTGGAGGAGTGGCCGTCTTTGGCCGGCTCCCATCGCAATATTCAAAGTACGGCTTGATCATGCTTACTTTTTGTTTCTGGCCGCAGTGACGTGCAAATCGACATCCTGAACAATGATGAAAAGATGAAGCGATACTTCAATAAGGACGTCTTCAGAGACTTCGACCTCTATAGATCTCGCCATTCGAGAGATCCGGAATACGTTCAGGTGCGTCTCAGGAGAAAATTTCCTATCGGACCGGACAACCGGAAATAGTCTCTCACTGGATGCGGAGATCGCTGTCGGAAATCCCCGAGAGTGAGTCAACTCGAGCACTCATATTCAATTATGCAACCTCCCGCTCTATGATCGAAAGAAGTGGAATCTCACGCGCTCGTGAAGCCGCGGTCTTGACTACATTGCCGAGTTTCCCTGAGAGCTTCTCCAAGCCGCTACTTCTCCTAGAAACTCTTTTCGATTCGGAGCCATCCTCGGAGTGAGGCAAAAACGTGGAACTATTTTAAACGATTCTCATTGGCATTTCGATTAAACCAAACTATTCAGGAAGCGTCAGCATTGCGATTATGAATACTACGCTTCTTGTTATTGTGACATCGTTCAAGGTCGCTCCACAATGACCCAATCGGCCTTGGAATTTCTCTTCTTATTCACCTGGGTAGAACCACTCGAGTCCAACCTCTCAGTACATGAGTCAGCCGAGCACCCACGTTCCGCCGTGGGCGAGTATCACGAATTTCAATGAGTATCACGTATTGGAGTTTCGGATTCTCCGCTAGAATCAGGCACTCGGCGAAACAGACACTGTTACTAGTAATCATACTTTGCCTCCCAATAAGTACACGAGTGTATTCGGTGTGTGCAAAAAATAGACTCCTTGCTCACGGAAACTCGATTCTTGATGCAGCTTCTGATTTCTAACGATTCGAGAAAAATCATTTCCAAAGCCCACGACCGAGAACATGAGGCCGCGTGGGCGTTCCGAACTTCCATCTCGGTAATTAGACATGAGGCTGAGATAGAGCCTCGTGATCTCTACCTTCGGAAGAACCAAATCTTCGGATTTCATTCAGAATTTCGTTCCGCAGCTGTGCAAAACGCTCATACAATTCGAGCAGCCGGAGGCCGCTATGGACGTACATGGAACGCGGCATTTCCTTCTGAACCCCCGGAAAGGAGAGTACGCGCAGAGGGTCGACGTCGAGATCTGCCAGTAAGTTATTAGTCGAACAGAGAGTGCTCGAGGCTGCCATACATCCAGAAACTTTCTGTGCGAATTGCCCGTTCGGGTTCCGCTGTTTTCAATCCATGTTACTCTTTCCTCCCCTCAGGGAATCTGGTCTACCGTGCGCCGAAATCAACGACTATGTCTCCCCCGGCACGGCTACTCGTTGCGAAACGCAATTCTTCAAGAGAGGAATGGTCGCGGTCAATCCCGAATCTCTGGAAACGTACGAAATCGTTGTCCGGGTTCCGTCCGGTTGTAACTGCTTCATACAGAAGACGCTGCTGGTGACTTCTTGAAAACATACGCGTGCTTCGTGCGTGACAAGACCGTAGTCTATCAAGACATGAGATCGATCAGATTGGTCTTGCCTGCAGATCGTGGGAGACCATTTCTCGAGGATTCGAAAGAAACAGAGAACACGAAGGACAATGCTTCGAATAAAAAGACGAGAAGGTGAACACTGCTAGGAATGATGAACATTCAATTTGGGAATGGGTACGTCTCTCAAATGAGGAGTCTGATCCAACATTCTTGCTCATACCTCAAGATTGAAATATGACAGGGATAGGTTCCTTGTTCCGAAAACGATGAGGTTCTCATAAAACGCCAGGCGAACATCAATCGAACGATTAATATACCGATTTAGTCATCGGACAAGATCGATCCAGCTCGCTCTACCCGGTTCTTGTCGTTACTCCTATACGAGCTGAGCTCCGAATCCCGAATCGACCTCTAACTCGCGCTAGGAAGGAATTGGAGGAGGGTTTCGTGCTGCTGCAATGACGTGCATTGGGGTGACGTTGATTCTGATCATAATAAGAAACTGAGTGTCTTCAGCGTGGAGACGGGCCGAATATCAGCTACGGGGTCGAGTTCTCAGAAATCTCTTCCCACCCCGATTCGAATGACATTCCTTTTCAAAGAACAATTGATCCCCTTCAGGAATGTCCCTGGAAATGCCTCCCGAAATTGTCGAAAATGCTTCCTCATAGACGATTTACGGACAGGTTGGGCTTCATAGAGGCATCTCGCTCTCGGAACGTGTGTGGAGTCAACGTACAACAGTGGCGGGACGTGAGAGCTCACGAATATGGAGAGATTCTTCCGGAATATCTCCCGGTCTTTGTCCCCGTTCTCGATAGGGTAGTCTCTGCTCGCTGAAGATTCCGGGTAACCACGTCAGATTCCGTATATGTACACTCGAAGAGAATCCATTGTGCAGAGCATTTGGTATACACGCATATTTCTCTCTAAATTCATTTACCGGAGTGCTATTGCCTCCGATTCTAGGAATTCCTCCGAGAGCAGTATTTCTTCGCCCCGAGAAGGTGCTGGATCGATATGGGAACGTAATCAAGATCGAGAATGCACCACGGAAGAGGAACTGGCAAGAACGAGTGGCGAAGTATTCAAAATTCCTCCGTAGATTGCACCGACTCCCTAGCTCGATCGCTGCGAATTTCGACCCGCCTAGCATCGTATACCTGGGTGAGATATCATAATTGTCGTAAAAAAACCTGATGAGTCAACAATCGATCACCGAGAAAAGTCGAGCGATTTCTCCCGAGCCCCCCGAGAGGGTCGTTGGGGGGGGGGGCGCGTTACAGCAGCAGAAAAGGTTCGAGAGATAGTCGTGCCGCCATGTGCCTGTTCAGGCTTTGTCGCATTCCGAGAAGGCGAGGACAGGGAGAATGGCGAGTTCGATGACCTCTTCCGCCTTGGAGGGGCGGAACAAACTGGGGGCAGAAACCGTGCTTGGATTCAATGATCAGGACGTGGATCGTCGGGCACCGGAAGGCTGAGAGAAAGGCAGGCAAGGGATCTCTGACTATGAGAATCGATGAAAGAAAGCTAAATCGTTTGGGCAGGCGCTGAAATAGTACGGCTCTGGAAATGAGGGGGAAAAAGCTTTTGAGTGATGCTTCTGAAGACAGAACAGGGATGCGATTGGGACAAGCTATTGTTTGAGATACGATAATATGTCTAATTTACGATTCTGATCATGAGGCTCTAATAAATCCAATCCAATCCAACACATGGCGTCCTCATATTGCATTGCCTATACTCACGGCGAGGCCGGGTCTTCGATCAGATGAAAGTGCTTCAGAGTGCCCTCCCACCCCCCCCCCTGGGGTTCGGGGGACTCGCGGACTTATACCTGCCTGGAGTTCATGAGTATGCTGACTCGAGATAAGGGCGGGCGAGCGCATCCGCTCAGGGGATGCTGCAATATTCGATGATTACTCAACTCGAGGCTCTTTTTTTCAAATGACGAAAATGACGAATGACTTTTCATCAAATGACGAAAATAGGACGATTCCCAGGATTCTTGAGACCGCGCCGGATCAGCCAGCGAGGCTTTGGACATTCTCATGATGGTGGTGACCCCGGGGGCATATCTCGCTCGAGGGGGCGTCGAGAATGACGTCGGTCCGCGATGAGGGAATTCGGGCCGGTCATATGTAATAATGATGAAAGAATAATGATCTTTGATCATGGAGCCTCCGCAGACCGGAGAGGTTCTGGGTCGAAGTTCTCCGAACAAAATTGAATATGAGATTCTACGCGACTCCCGGCATTCGGGACCGCGTGGAGCTCCCATCGCATGGGTTGAGCCTCCGAACAGCGCATTCTTCTCAGAGCTGTCGATCGAGGGAAATCACTTTTAGGTAAGCGAATGCACCGCAGGATGTTCCGCAAGCGAGCATCTGAGATTAGCACCGAATATCCAGACTTGCTTATGATCTGGATCTGGTCTACGCGAGAGAGGAGGATCCCATCTAGTGGCTGAGGAGCTACCTGATGCAATCAGTAGGAGACTGTTTTCCTCCCTCCAACCCCCAAGAGCCGACTCTGAATTGATGGACAATGAACCTCTGATGCAAGCTCCGCGTCTCGAATGAACTACAGGTTTATTTCCAGGTTCCGATCGGGTAACCTCTCGACGTACCCCATGCTCACAGCGTCTTTACGCAAGGCGTGGTCTGAGAATGTGATGAAAGCTTCGCGGTCAAAATGCTGGTAACCCCCGCTTAGATCGCGGATCCCATCGATAATCACAATCTCGGGACATGTAAGCTAGAATGAAGTATTTTTTTCCGACGCTCCGAAACATGTTATGCCTCAGAGAGAATCGGAGAGCCAGGGAGAGAAGCTCATGTAAGAGGAAGCGGCCGTGTTCACTTGGAAGTTCTGAAGGGTTTGGCAGGGAAACAGCCCCCCGAAGGATCTCCGATGGGTACCGTAACTCGATCAGCACCGAAAGCTCGGGAAGATTCGAGCTGTGAACGATTGATTCGGAAGGGGAGCAGAAGAAATTTCCGTTGCAAAGCCCATGGTTCGACCCGAGTGAGCCCTGATCCCCCTGGAAAGGACTGACCTATTATTATCGACGAACCTTCGCTACCGCGCGAAGAGCCCCACCACCCCCGTAATTCTCTCCAGAGGGATCGTAACCGGCATCAGCCGCTGGAACCAAGCCTTCCTGACTTGAGCGGAAGCGTCAATGCTCGCGGGAGCACCGTCGCGGCTCCGATGCGAATTTCGCACACGCTGACCATCTCGTTGGAGTAGGTACTCGGGAACGTCAGCAATCGGCGCAACGGCTGCACCAAACGCGCTCCGCGCCAGACTCCCCACGGGGGTCGGAGCCCAAAATGTCTGCTGTGGAAAACAGAGGACGATGGCTTGCGAAGAGGGAGCGATCGTGAGCACCGAACATCCGGGGAGCTAAGACTCTTCGTCGAATATCTGGAGCGACACAACCGCATGCAGTCCACAGGAACTGCTGTCCCAATCTTAGCGCATTGTCCGTGTCCGGGAGCACACCATGAGGGCTGTCTATGGCAGCGGTTCTCAACCTGGGTTCCGCGAGCCCCTGCTAGGCTGCTCAGACTTTTATTCATTTTATCGAATTGGAGTGAATTTTCTAAGCTCTAATGCATGCAGGATACTTCATGCGATCGTGGTCGAAGGTTTTGAGGTGATTAAGGGGAAAACTTGGAAAGATAGAGTCCGAAACCAATAATAAGGGTTCCGCGGAACCCCACCAGGGTTCTGCAGGGCAAAAAAGGTTGAGAACCCCTGGTCTATGGAATTTCGCCGTTTCATAATAAAAAGAAAGTTGCATCAATACGTAATGGCTAATGGCCGTAGAACATGGTGAACGTGGTGCAGAACGCAATGTCCGGGCTCCCAGTCGGGACTCTCAGAGACCGTTCGCGACCGACGTAGGGAGCGATAAACTCCGAGACACTTCCTATGGTACAGCGAGAATCAGTACGAGCCGAATCTGTCCGGACTTGCGAGAACGGGCGTGAGAGCATCCTAGACGAGTCCCGGAGTTCTACGAAACGTTGGAGATACCTACCCAGCGGAAAGAGGTGTCGCTGACAGACTCCGAGGGGAGCCTCGGAGACGGAGCCACAGAGCTCTCCCATGTTTCAGATACAGGTAGTCCATCTGCTCATGCCTCATTCTGCTGATGATCATCGGAACATTTCCCTACCGCAGGCTGGGGGAAAGGAGACCGGAAAGATTGCACCCCATCAGAGCTCGAAACGCTTCCCAGGTCGATTGAAACCTCCATAACTCTGGGAGCCGTGTTCGAGTACCAGAACTGCTTTTCTCTCTGTATCAAGAACGTAGCTCCCCAATGAAATTCTGATCACCCTAGCGTCGTGTCCGATGGAGTGGTCGAGCTTGTCTTTGCTGACATGCTTAAGAATCGGAGCCCCAGGATTGGGCTACAGAGCCGAGTGGATGGAACTGCAAGGATTTCGATCACCGCAAGAGCCGACGGCAACGTCGATATCCGTGGGCACTGGGCACAACCGGTCTGTCAAAAAATCTTGCGGTCGATGAGCGGAATGAATTCGGGCCTTCGAATCGCAAGTGCAAACATTCTGAGTGCGAGGGCAAGCAGTTATGGGTCAGGTGCCTAGTATTCGACGCATAGTTCGAAAGGTAGGATCCCAATGGTCTGCGGTGACGCTTTCCATCACCGGTACGCTAGAAAATACGTGGCTATCAATGGAAATCTCGTTGACTGTTCCATGAGCGGAACCTCTTCCCCGCATCGTCTCGTTCGGTGCCGCTAGGCGCTCCCGACGCTGATAATAATAAATTGCAATAGTACTTTATCAAGGGGAATCGCGATAAGCGACACGACCGATGACGTCGAATTCTCGACGATACTAATTGGCCTGCAGGCTCCGTAGCTCAGCTGGAGGACAGAGTCCCTTACCCTCGAGAGGGGCTGGGCGCAAACGCTCAGAAAGCCTCGGATAGAGATGGAATATTCTGGCCATCCTTCACGGAGGGTCTCTTGGGCCGTACAATGCCAGGAGTTTTCCGGAGAAAAATCCGCGCCGGACCCTAAACCTATGCCATGAGCAAGGATCTCGAGGAGGCGACCGCAGAGAGAGACGAAGCTAGGATTCAGCTCCTTTTTCAAGTCACCGTGGGGGGATCTAGCTCCGGAGTCGATTCTGTTGAACCACAAGTGGGGACTTCGAAGATCAAGTTCGGGAGGAGTTCGCGTTGGAACATTCCCCCCTCGGATCAAAAATCACATACCGGGACTTTCCACGACGACACTGGCCGATACGGAAAATAGCTCGACAGCCTCCCTACCGAGATCGGGTGAATCTGGGCCGAGAAAAATTTCATTAGCTCCTTGCCATACCCCGCGTGATATCGGCAAGAGTTTGTCCGGGACCGCAAAACTCGAACAAATCACCGGTTTCAAGCAAAGATCATCATCCTCAGCTTCGTGAATAGACCCGTCTGCCATCGCTTTTTGCTCGTTCCGCGCGTCAAGACTGTGCAGTGACTCCTTCCTTGCCCACCCCTCCGAGGAGCTTGCGGTCGAGGCATGGCGTTCTGTCGTTCCTCGGGACGGCCCAGCGTCAGTCCTGCGAATCTGCTTGTCTCCGTTAAACATCCGAAAGCTTGATAAGGGAAATATCAGCGATATGTCGACTCGCTTCACCCAAGATGATTATTCCACGATGTAGGGCATCGAGCGCAATTCTCGAATTCTCGCTGCCAACTTTGGCAAAGAATTCGAACGAGACATCGAACTGCGTCGCCCCGCCTTCATTGAAGTCAGTAGCCGGTATGCCCATGCTATGCGACTCGAGAGCAAAGTCGACTCCAGGCGAAATAATTGCGGCACCGAAAGCCAACTCAAAGTTCATTCTGTCGGGAGAACGCGCGGGCGTCCGAGACGACGATGCAGGCAGGCATCTGTTCGGAGCTGCCTCTTATCGCATCGAGTAAAGGGCTCTCCCAATGATTTCACTGGAGATATGGGGAGTCTCCGACTGCTCCGAATCGGGACGAAATAAATATCTAGTCGCGGTTTTTCATGACGACATTATGCTCTCCGCAGAGTCATAAAATGGATGACCTTCGGGAAGGGGAGACTCCCGTCCCTGACGATCCTCGCTCTGCTCGGGGCACGCGCGATCCAGGGGCCGTTCGGCATAACGCCGGCCGGAGACAGCTAGTCTAGTAGTTGATGGAACATTTTTTTCTGTAGCTTGTCGGGTCCATGTGTCTACCAAACGCTTCCTTATCTCCTCCTTATCATTCCGCCCTGGCATACGATCAACAAGCTGTTGACGTCACAGTGATTCGGAGAACTCTGACCCCAGTCCAGGTCGCTCAAAAAGTCATTTGTATCACTCGAGGACTGGCGGCGGTAGCGACGGCGGTTTCCTTTCTAGTTTGTCGTTTTTCTTCATAGTCTCCCATCAAGTTTCTAGCCCAATAAAAGCTGTCTACTCGGTAATTCAGCGAGCCTCGCGGCGTGCTCCGTAGAACTCGGTAACTTAAGTGTCGCTGTTTACGAACGGAACTCGTTAGTGCCGGTTTTACTTGGAACGTCCTCAGACCTACATCGAGTTTCGGGACAATCAATCGAGCACCACGCTTGCTCGCCCCGATGCAGGTTCTGCAACGAGTCCCAGCGATCGAGGAGCGTCGCGTTCGTGTAGAAATTCTTTTCCCGAGAAAAAAATTTTTCGCTCGGCCTGGGAGATGGATAAACATTCGCTCGAGGGCTTCCCGGTGGAAGAGTGCGAGATTTTGTCGGCACGGTCGCTCTGAGAAAAGCAGAAGATCCCTTCAATTCGCCAACTCAGACTGCAGCGGACAGGAGCCTGCCATAGTAGGATGTGGTGCCTTTCCACAAGGCGACCCTTTCTCAAACTCTCCCGTTATAAGCGAACTGCGCGCGTGCTCCGCTATTAAATGACGTCCACAGTCTTACTTCACCACAACACACAACTGTGGAGATTCCTCGAACCTCGAGAGGTTCTAGTTAAAGTGTCCCGGGCCGTGTCTTGACAGTCGTGTCGAAATGCATTGTGTATTCGGCTTGTTGCAATTGTTCTGCGTCGTCGGTGCATTGCTCGTCATCGTGCCCGTGCACCAGGCCGCTCCTCTGGAGCCGGTCACCGACGTTCTGGACAACCACTGTGAATGTCACGATCGGGGGAAAGCCATCGACTGTTCGGATTTGATCCAGGACGGAGCCGACACTTCGTATTTGCGAATTCAGGTACGCAAGTCCGCCTTCCCGCTCGTAAGTCTCTCCTGTCGAGATCGATTATTATTTTGATTATTATTCTTTCCAAGAAGATCCGACCAGGAGACCCTTTGACAGAATTCTCCCACCCCTTATGGGGCTCCCACGAGCACGGATTGTGGGTCGACTCGGGCGATTTGTAGAGGAGAAACGAGAGAGGAACTTTCCCATAGTGAGCTCTTTGCTCCGCTGTGCAACTTTTCGTTGATGGTGCTCGCATCTGAAGCTTGTCTAAACTGCTTTTCAGATTGTGTGTCACAATTTGAGGTCTGCAGAGCCTCTCCGGGCTCTGTACGGGCGCCTACGTTCGGCTGCACCCAACTCTCCGATCGTTGTGACGATCAACGGCTTGGCGATGAAGGCCTTACCGGCTCGTTTCTTCGATGGCATTTCCACTCATATCATGCACTTGAACACCTCGAACGTGTCGGAGTTCGACGACGACGTTTTCCGAGGTTTCGAGACCAAGGTGCTGGACATGAAGACCAATACACCGGTTGCCCCCCCGCTGGGTGCAATCAAAGAGATTCCGAAGCTGGGATCCTTGATGCTCCATGGATACAAGGTTGCAGGTAGGTGGCGTGGTATGGTGGAGAGGCCGAGTCTCCACTGCGTCCAGCCTCCTGCTCTTGCGGGCACTTACTGGTGATGGCTTGCAGTGGTTAAGAAGGGCTCGTTCTCCGACGATCTGACGACGCTCGGACTGTCTTCGTGTGGCGTACATCGCTTCGAGGAAGACGCGCTACCCCGGGGACTGGTGTTGCTCAACCTCAATAGCAACCACGATCTTCGCCCTGAAGGCCTCCAGAACGTGTTCAGGAAGCTGGCCAAGCTGCGATCCTTAATGCTAAAAGAGACGGCCGTGACGATCTTCAACAAGGACCTCTTCATGGGTCAGTACTCTCCACAATTACGGATTACGAAGCGGCGTAGCGAACGTCGATATCCCGAGGGCTCCAAACGAGCAGGAACTCACGGTTTCTGAGCTACCCGGAAGCTCCCCGAAGCTTCTTCGGCTTCTTCGGAGCAGCCGAAGAAGACACCTCGAACTTCCGGCTGCTGCTCATCGGAGATAACTCCAGAGTTCGCTCTAATTTTTTTCCTTTTTTCTCCCGATCCGCAGGCTTGAAGAATCTAATCTCTCTGTTCTTGGTCGACTGCAATATCAAGCAGTTGGACGACGACGTGTTCTCGACCCTGCCCAAGCTCGATCAGCTGTACCTGGGGAAAAATGCGTTGAAAGAGTTCAGGTTCATTTTGAGCACGAACGTAAGCAACCTCAACTTGGACGACAACAACCTCACGGCGCTCGACGAAGAGTTGTTCAAAGAGTTGGCCGGTCGCAGACTCCGTTCGTTGAACCTCAACGACAATGGCTTCTCGGACGTTCCAACTGCACTTCAGCACCTCAGTCAGCTCGGTTCGCTGTCTCTGTCTGGAAATCACATCAGCAAGCTGAACTGGTCAGCGTTCGATGGCATGCGAAAGCTCCGCTCATTGAATCTCGAACACAACGAGCTGATCTTGATCGAAGGACAGCCCGAACTGCCTGAACTGTGGTCGCTCGATCTGATGGGCAACCTCCTCGAGAGTCTACACGGCTCTTTGAAGTCCCTTCATCTGGGTTCTCTGAACCTGGCCGCAAATCGAATCGAGAAACTTCCGCTCGAGGAACTTCCAGTGACGCTCCGAAGCATCAAACTCGAAGGTGAGTGTCCACTACGTCGCCGCGCCGTCCATCGGTTATTCTCCCACCCATTCCGTCTCGATGGGGATTCCGCGCCGGATCCCCGATCTTTCCCTCCGGACAATCCGGTCCCGCCAGACTGAGACGCGAACGCAGTAGATGCAGTCCCGGTGATCCGGAATCATGAGTTCATTGCTGCGCAGCTTTTCCCTTTAGTGAGCAGACGATTTCCGAAAGTCTGTGGAGTATTGTTCGTGATATGGCAATTCATCTCAATCGACCAGCTCTGAGTGATCAAAAGCCAAACACTTCACGCAATTGAATACGCTCTCTACTTCGTCGCAGTCGCCACGTTCACTTAACCCGAGAGTGCTTTGAACGACATCAAAATTCTACGAACGATCAAGAAACGGGGTGAAAAGAATCTCTTCCGATCACTTTCTTCCCCGATCCTTTCTTGCGCTTCTAGAAGCATTGGGAAGCAGAGCGGAATTTTTTTGCGAAGCCTCCGCTGTTTATTGGCGTCAACGTACTCGCAGACTCCTGCTCTCAGTTAGTGGCTGATAGATAGTTGATGATGGCTAGGTATTAAAGGTTGCGTTCTGTTTGTCGCGACTGTTGCTAATAGGTACAAAAGGTTGTTCCATCGTCGCTTGTGGTGTCGTTTCGGCGGTGTACGGTAGAAAACGACTGGGTTGCTGCCTCCCAAATGTTTGTCTGTCCATCGCCGTTGAGTTGGTTTGAAGATCTCTGCCTACTCTGCGACGATCAATCTAATCTACCGCCATTGCTGCTACTGCTGCTGCTGCTTCGGACTTTGGCTGGAGTTTGCCGCTTAGGAGGCGAGGCCGCCGCCGCCGCTCGGCCAGCAGGCAAGCAGGCGACGAGGCGGGCAGGTCGTTCTCTTTTTGATTTGAACCCTGAACTCTGTCCCGCATCCGGTACCGCGACGACAACCACCACAACAACAACAACAACCACAACAACGACGACAACGGCGGCGACGGGAAGGGGCCTTCATTCAGGTTGCAGTACACTCGCTGACAAACCCGACAGAAGCTGCTGCTGCCGTCGCCGATAACACACACACAGACGAATACACTCACTCACTACTGGTAGAAGAATTGTGTGATGATCTTCCAGATGGTGCTAGAGTTGAGTTTTCTCCGTCATTAGGTTAGAGATGGCATCTTCTACTACCATGTCGACTGCCTCCGTTTGTACCGCGGCAGCCGACAGATTTCGCCAGGCTGTGTTCTCTCAGTCAGTCAACCAGATCCGGCAAAGATTGTTCGCTGCTTGTCTGTCCTTTCTCCGCAGTCTGTCGTGGTGTCGTTGTTGTCGTCGTCGTCGTCTTTGTGTTTTCTTATGCGCGTTGGGCACGACGACGCCGCCCGGGACAAAGGAAAGCTCGCGGAGCCGTTTTTCTCTATTCTCCATCTGGCCGTACTCGATTTACTCGACTCGTCACTGAATAACGTTTTTTCTTTTCGCTCTCTCTCTCGATTGCAGGAAATCCCATACACTGTGACAATCATTCTGATGGCGATTTCGACCGTGAACTGTTCGAGAAAATCGCCATCCTAGTCAAGTCGAACCACGGAGCACCCTACCGCGATTGCGTTCGATTCGCCTACTAGTTGTTAAATGTTACGTGCATTTCTCTTCGTGTCATTACATTGAATTTTCTTATCCTTCGAATTGGTCCTCTCGCCCCTGCCTTTTGATTACGATTTTTTTTCTAGTTTATCCCTTCATAAGAAATCCATGGAGTCCTCAGAAATTTCCCCATGGGACATCCCCGTGTTCGTTACCCTATTTATTCGATTCCGAGCACCCAAGTTCTCTTGGTCTCTGCCTCTTCATTTCTATCCAAAGGTTTTCCGCCGTCCTCTCCCTGTACAAACATATACTTAGTACAAGATACCTAGCACGTTATTTATTAAATTATTATTTTCGTGCCGTTGAACTTTTTCCTAGTCATGTAGTCACTCGGTCGAGAGGGAACGAGCGAAATTCGCGATCCCCGTAGAGGAGTGGGCTTCATGTTCGAACCGGATCTCGTCTATGTACTCCGGCGGTGCTTGCATGCGCCACGTTTAGATGCTAGTTGTTCTACCAAAGACGTAAATAGTCGTTGACTTAGGATGATGCTATTTTCGGACGGCGAGAGACGTCTCTTCGACGGGCACCCGCCCGCCCAGCGACGAATCGACGAACTCTCCTGTTACAACGGACAAACAAGAAAACGAAAACCGATCCGGAAGCCTGTATATTGAATCACTAAAACAGATTGTACAAAAGAAGAGCGAATCAACAACAGAGCGACCGAGCAACTAGTTGTTCGGACTGGAATTGCTCGGAATTCGAGTGAGTTTCGAGCGAGATTGCCCACACTCATATTCGATCGTATAGTTCAGCGACCGACGTCATCCAGACTGATGATCGAGGTTCATTGATACGACGACGATGATAAGTTTTGAAGGATTGAGGCCGAACGCGTAGCTTCCGAAGGGAGCGCGTTCGATGAATGGAAGAGGATCACGCGGGAATACCTGCCGAGATTCGTCATGTTTCGCACCTAATTGATACCGTGTGCTCGACTTCGATCGAAGATCAAAAGACCAGCACCCTGACGTTCTGATACTAAATAAATCGTAGGAAATTCTGGTTTCGAATCTGTTTCAAATTATGCAAAATATCTTCATTTACGAGCATTCTTTCTCCTCCAACACAGTTTTTCGAAGAATGGTGGTGTTCCGAGGAACATCCGGGTACCAACTTTGCAGGTATCTGCAATCGTCTGACGAACTGATCTCAGGATCGATAGCTGAACTGTCGACAGATCGAGCCCACAATCCGAATATGATTAATCGAGAACCTTTTGAATCGACATCGATGATCTGACATGAGGATCGATAATAATTGACGCGTGCAGATTGACCGTGACGAAGCGAAGCGAATCACTCGATTCATTCTCGCAGCTTTTCCGAGAAGGCTCTGTCTGAATGTCCTGAAAGTGGAACGTCGGGTTGTAGAATGAGATTCGAGTTTTTTCCATCTTCTACATCTTAGGAAACCGTTCGCAGATGCCGGCTTCCTAATTGTCCCTGATATGTGAGTCAACCTGATAGGATCGATGCACCCGTGTACTCGAGATCAGCTCGGGAGTGATTCTAATCGAGACGAATCATTTTTTTTGACATCCAAAACAAAGTCTGATGAGGCGGGTTCCCAAGAGATCATTACCGTGGCGATCGACTAGACTTCACGCTCCAGGGTTGGGTTAATCACGGGAGTTCGAACCGAGCTGCGACTCTCGATCATTTCTGCTGAACTCGTCGTGATCCAATGAAGCCATCCCCGATTCAGTACATCGATCAATGATCCGTCAGAAAAACGCCACGCAAGCACATCCGTTTCTCAGAAAACATCGCTCATAATCGTAGTCCCTCGAGCTTTCTCTCACCGCGATGAGCATCGCTATTCCAGCTCAATAAGGGAAAGATAGAGGGTGCAGAGCTGTCCGGTACTTGGAGCGTCTGAGAGCACGAAAATTCCCCCGTTTCTCGAGCTGTTCCAGGGATCCTGAAAATTACGATCCGAGGGTCTCTCCAGATCGCTGTGAAAGATCATATGAATGATACTTTCCCGGAGACTCTGTGAAGACGGCTCTCTGACTGAGAGAAAGTCGAAAGCCCCACTCGGAGAGACACACACTCGCGTCATGTTTATTTTGGTGAACTTGAACAGAGTGGTCGATTAGGCACGGTTAGAGTCTCTTAACAGCTCTCTCCCTATGATCTCAGATAGTCAACGCTCAAAGACTTCCACGAGAATTGAATGCGGGACTCGCCATCGTTTCGCGTTTTTCTCATTCTCATCTCCTAGACAAAAACTACGATCGGTTGCGTCAGCCCCTTGGTGCGGGAAATCTTCACGGCGCGTACACAATGATTATAGTGCTCTCCTTAATGTTCGGCAGTCTTGCCTTAGATAACGACGCTCGCGTCGCATAGTACGGGATTCGACCTGTAGAGTCGACATTTACGGGATGAGGGTCAGAATAGGGGGAGGGGAATCTCTCAGGGCATCATGGGGTGTAAGGGCTCGGGTACCTCCTACTCTCCGATTCGAGGCATGCAGACATTTGATCCGGATCGTCGCCTTGTCGGTTCGGGCTGATTGATCTGAGTATACGGGCGGAAATGATCCGGAGCGATTGCGGGTACTCAGCGATTTTCTTCCCGACCGTCTTCATCTTCTGTAAGATGACGCGAGAAATTGAAGTATTGTCTCAGATGATAATGTGATGCTTGACACTCCAGGGCTATGTGAGCGTGAGGGATACGGGTCTTTACGCTTGATAGTATTCGAAGGAGACGATGGCTAATCGCAAGACGGGATTGCATCGAGCAACGAAAGTCGGTTTCGGGGAATCCTTCGGTGGAGAACTTCGAGTAGATCACGATTAGACTGAGAATTTCCGGTTTTGTGGGAATGCACGACTTTTCACTGGGAAAAGCCCATGAATCTGTGCTAGAGAACTATAATACAGGGCGTGATATTGCGGAGGAGTCGACACCGGAACAAAGTCCAACGGGTTAAGAGATGTCACGGAACGCAACAATCCGCATCTCCCTCGAGATTGTCGTGGAGAGAACGATTGGAGTCGGTTTCCACTGATCCATCTAGAGGTCGCAATTCCAGTGGCTACACCACCAAACACCGCACAGGAGCGAATCGGAGTTCGGGACTTTTTTTTATCAGGCTACGCTGTGGACTCCCGCTCGACTATCCGCTTCGAGATTCGCCCCTCCAAGGAGTGGAGAGGAAGCCGATGATTCAATCACACCTGAGCCGGAATCAAAACTCGACTCCTAACCGAGCCTGAGCACGATGCCGTGCTTATCTTATGGGGCGCGGATTTAGACACTCCGGAGCGGCCCGTCGTTGATCTTGACCGCGAAATCTCGGCTTTGTCTTGGCTGCTTGTTTGTCCAGATGTTCCTACCCGCGCCGAGGACCGAATACCGCGCGCTTTTAGGCGCTAATCCTTTGATTTGACAAGCTTCGAGAACTTTCTCCCGGAGTCAGAGCCCCCACCAACGCACACGAGTCGAAGTGGAAGCAATCAATCGAAATTTTAACGAAAATTAGACTCGGAGATGCAGCGATCATCAGAGATTCCAATTGGATGTCGAGCGTGAGAATTTTGAGCCGGATCAGAATCGATAATTCTCCCAAGTGGATCGGACCTCGAGCAACACTCGCTCCAATGGATGAATGTCCCGGACGGGTTTAAAGACCCTGGGAATGGAGAGTAACGTTCGCTTTCGCGATTCACTATAACTCATTTGATATGTTGTCTCGGTGTACTAGTCGTTGTTGTCGGTGTTTGCAGCGTTGTCGTCGTCGTCGTCGTCGTTGTTCTTCTCTATGTATGTGAGTAAACGGAATTTTCTAAATTCGGATGGGTTGCCGACGCATCAGGAACAGGTAGGGTTTCCTCAGTGCACCTGTGCCGTATTGACACACACAGCGCACACTCAGCGGCTGTCTCACCAAACCAGCCAGTGAACCAGCGGACTTGCCGGCTGCTCAGCCAGCCACCGAGCCAGCCAGAGAGCCATGAGCCAGTCGAGCCAGTGCGTACAGCGCTCCAGCCAGGTGAATCCACATTAACGAATTCCTCGACGGGTTTCTTAAGACATGCTTTTAGAGGGCACGGCGAGAAGCGCATGGACAGACGTCAGACTTACTTCCCGCTCTGAGACTGGTACAGAGATGTCAAATGTCGAGCAAGTGGACCATCTTGACAGTCTCGCTCCCGGTCACGGGGACAGACGAGTTAGTCATCACCGAATTCCGCAGCTATGACAAAGCGCCTCTGTGAAAACAACGCAGGATGATACCGCGCTCCTTGTTCAGTAGGTGAAAAATCAACGAACGCAAAAAAATACACACCGGACCGGAAGACCGGTGCGGCGCCGTTCCCCAACGGCGCTAAAGCCGCTCCAAGCCGGTCCCGCGCGCCTAATCAAGGGACTCAAGGTTCGTGACGCGATCATTTGCGCCGCACGAGAGGTCTATCGAGGAACGAAACGCCGTGAAATGCGATCGTCGAGACGTACCCAGGGACCTCGAAGCTCCGACGAGGGCAGAGTATCGAAATTCCCCGGAAATCGTCGACACGATTTCCCAGCGATCGGGAACAGCATCTCATCTCCGGACGCACGGAAGCGAATCGCCGATCTCACTGAGCTGAAAATTGCTGAATGCTCGACTCAGCAACTTCCCCGCGGGGGTTCAGGTGGTGCCACGCAGGCTGCCAGGTTCGTTTTGTTTATATTTGATGAATCCCCCGCCGAGCGCAGCAGAATTCAGATGAGCAGAAGAAGCGGGCGGTGGGTGAGGGGACTTTCTAGATAGCACCAAACGAGCGGTCATCCCCAGTCAGCATCGTCTCACGACGGATTCGTTCGGGAGATTTCGCACGCCGATCCCGCGTGGAGAATTTTCATGTATACCTAAATTTGATTACGGCAACCTGTGCAGGTCCTCGACCGGAGGAACATGGTCCGAATACTCGAGAGACAGCTGACTCGCTCGCCCGCGGATGCTCCACGCGACATTCGAA